CCGGCAATTCTCTAAGACCTCTATGGGGGCCATATGGCTCCCATGGAGAATGGCTGTTTTAGATAACTGTTTAAATCAGAACCGCCAGCACGGAAGATAATTGATAAGCGAACGATTTTTTCTTGTCATTCGGCGCTTTCTGTTCTTATGTGAAAACTTGCCGCTCATTCTTAGCCTTAAGTCTCTGTACAATCACAGTATAATCTCAAAGTTCAGAGAAATCTGATGTGCGCCTAAACGTACGTCGAATTTGATGCAGTTTGTGCCGTGGTTGCTATCAGTCAGGATTATTTTGCTTTATCAGTGTGGCGCTTATTCCGCGGTGTTGCAAAATCTTTGATGCGATGGATGGTGTTATTAAAGATAAAGTCTGCCACATGTAGCATACAACCATAGAGAACTAATCCATTGCAATTCTTATTGCGACCGATATGATGAAATGAACCCTTATATATAGAACGGAATGCACGGAAGACCCTGCTCTACGAATGCACCTGGCGATCAAGTGGAAAACAGCGATTTCATTCACAAAGTACATGGATTCAAAACTACATCGCTTATAAATCTGTCATAAGTATGTGAGTTCCAACCATTACGCAAGCTGGTAGGACTGACTCCCAACTTGCCAGCGGTCATCGTCCCGGATAGCTGAATGAACCTCAGAGGTACACGAAGCGTCGCAGTATGGAAATATCCAATCTCGTCGGTATGCGCAAGTCTATTCACTTCGTCAACCGCATGTGGTCAGCTAATGAAGTGACAAGTCATCGCGCTGCCTGCTGTTCGTATGCGTCATTTAATTACAACGAGATGGCACAGTGCCACGATCGCTAAGTGGAAAGGATGAGGGATATTTTAGTTTCTAGGTTAACTCAGTCATACACTAGGCTTGTAACATAGCCACTGGCATTTACGAAACTGCTAACGGTGTCTGTTGGGCATAATGCAGATTGTTGCCATCGGATACCGAAGACCCTACCTTGCCTCACCAAGTTTGTCGTGGCCAGTTCTGTCGCACCAATGTAGGCGAATTCGCGATGGCGATGGGGGACCACATGCACAGACGAATGGACGCACCTAGCATTAGCATTGACGAAATATAGTAGCATTTCGACATGGAACGTTCATTTCGGCTACCGTATATGTCACGAAGAGAGACCTACGCGCGCTACACGTTGGAGGTAAGGAACCGTGTACTGCAGGCTTTTGAGAAAGGAGCCAATTGGAAACAGCTTGCAAGTTTGCTGAATGTGTACGTTACTACTTGCTGCAACTGGATCAGTCGTTGGAATCGACGGAGCGCAAAGGAAAAGACGGTACTGTCCGTCACAGAGCTCTAACTGAAAGCCACATCGATTCTTTGGTTGAGTGCGTGACCAAGGAACCTACAGTAACACTCGCAAATCGTCGTTTGCTTTTAAACGCGGAGTTCGAAGTTGAGGTCAGCACCAGTACCGTCGCCAGAGACCTAGACGGTCGACTACTAACGTTAAAGAAGTTGCACGCGATTCCAGGATCTATGAACACGGCTGAAATCGATTGTCTTGCGGCTACTGCATTATGAGGCCGAAGTGCGGCAACCAGTGTGGATCGATGAGACGAACTTGCACATTTTTGAGCGCGCACCAGGGGTCATTCGTGACTGGGGAGTATAGCCCAATGTATTGTTACCTATAGTCGTGGCCAGTATGTACATCTTATTGACACCATGACAAAGGACTCTGTGATACCTTTTTCCGCTTTACGCGGAAGCCATAACCAACGAAGTTGAGCTCAGTGGCTACGTCGTGCTAGAAGCCAATGGCCAGGCTTTTATCGAGAGGTGTCTATTTATATACGACAAAGCACCCTGCTACGGAGATCTGGAAAGCGTATTCGGAGAAGAACAGAGACACTCAGGGATGATTCTGCTTCTTGTCGCATACTCCCCAGGGCTGAATCCTATCGATGGCATCTGGAGTGTCATAATGGCATATGTGAAGCGCACTCTGAGGAGCAGATACGAGGAAATGCTATGAGGAAATCCTGACTGTGTCCTCAGAAAAAGTGAATGGCGATTAGAATTTCAAGAGCAAGTGGCATCCGAAGCGCTCGACTGTGTGACAGCTGCACCGTCAGCTGTTGGTGCAACATGTGGCCAGTACTTATGGCCTTGTTATACACATGACTGATTTATAAACCATACCGTTTTGAATATATGTACTTTGTAACTAGAATTGCTGTTTCTTATTCCATCGCCAAATGTGTCCGTAGGGCATCACGCGCTCCGCTTGCAATATACCGCTTTCCAATAGGGAACACGGCTTTGAGCTCAGTGAAAATGCATTGCACCACAGGGATCAATTTGTCTATGACGCAAGGTGACAAATCTTTCATACCTGATGTAAGTATGAGAGTATAATTCCAAGGAGGAAAATATGGATGAAAAAAACTTATTACTGCCTATCCCAAGCGTTGCAACAAATTACCCCAAAACACGGGTTACGAATGTCTATCGAGAAATATCTTGCTATGCGCCACATCATTTCTATGTTACGGATATCTCAGTCTTAGGAAACGGTACTCGACAACGACGTCAACATTGGATAGGAGCAAACTTGCCATTTCTTGTTGTTGTTACTGGCTGTAAAATGCTCGCTTCAACCTGAACATGATGGAACAATTAGATTGTCAATTTTTATCTTTTAGAACATTGTAACCACATTCCACGTTGTAAGATGTTTATATTCATCAATGAGACAAGAACCAAAGTACAATAAGGACGATTGTTACGTGACGAAAGCAGATCCATAGATGTCCTTCTATGAGTATATGGAATCTGTTTCTTAGCACCTTTCCCAGGCATGCTCAACTACTTCCATTGGTCAGTACATGTTGGAGTGAATTCTCAATAAACCTATATTGGAAGATAACCTTTGTGAAACACAACAGTGTGTCGCTTGCTCTGTAACTAGGCGCGGGCCGACTCACGCACCGTCGAGACATGAAGGATTCACTGGTTCATTGGGTTAGTGCGCCCCGGTCAACTTGATGGTGTGCGGTGACTCACATGCGGCTCCCTGGTCACACAAGCGTGACCCGGCCGTTCTATGCGTAACGTAATTTGGTTCCCCTTAGAATAGTTACCACGGGCAAGCGCCTAGACCATGGCCATTTACGTCACAATCGTTGACCGAAGTATTCCGGTTTGCTTCACTGACTATCTGCCATGACATTGGCGCAGCTTACATCCTAGCCAGCAGTTAGTGTCCTCAGACAGTAACATTCTGACCCCGTCATCGCGGCCACTCATGCGTACGTTTCTCACAGCACCCAACCCCGTGTTCAACTGACTGAGGCCGGCCGAACGATGAGGTCACTATATGACTGTGCGCGCAATCACGACGGATGCCAAGGTCACGAGTTTGAGACGGTAAGAAACGATTTCGCTTGTGATCAAACGAATTTAATTGAACAATTCACGAACATAGGTGGGAAATGGTGTAGATTGGTCGTGCAACTATAGCAAGAACGACGCGGCAATGAAGCACAATGTTTAGTGACTCGATTACAAGCTATCCGACCACTCATGCAGGTGCACATAAATGAGTCCCGTTTCCTTTCCAAGACGCACCATCTCTCCTGGCGTCCGCTGGACACACATCTGTGCACATTAGGGACCTGGTGGTGGAAGCTTTCCTGCCATTTTTACCCCGTATCTCCGCTTCTACCCGCCCCATTCTGATCGACCCGAAGTCATTCAAAAGCTCGTGTTTTGCTTAATCGTGCGTACATCACTCTACTTGGAGTCGGTCCTGTCTGATTTACTACACTTTCGACCAACACCCTCTGTGTTCTGCTCGTTTCAGACTAGCTGCGGTTCACCGATCGTGATCCATTATCGTCTCATTCCGTCAGGTCGGTGTAGCTCTGTCAGCCCTCTCTCATTGCACCTGTTCCCGTTTCCGTCCGCCCCCGTTTTCGTGGCCTTCCTGTCATCCTACAATCACTGCCTTCCGCCTACCTACACAATGATCCGTCAAGTAGATATGACCATCAAACGCCGTTCGTAAGATTGCGAGGTGTCGACTGCGCTGTTCTATTTTTCTTTAGACAGGCTCTTGTATCCGTTCGAGCGACGTCTTATCTGATCTTATCATGACACCGTTAAATTCACCTATCGTTCTCAGACATATTCGGTAGAGATAATTTTTCGCTTTCAGCATTTTTGTCTCAAACACACTCTGGATCATAAATGTTTGTGAAATTTTCCAAATTTTTCGAGGTTATCTTTTAATGCTTTCAAAGTTATGGTACTGCATACCTTCACTATCGCGTTTGTGACTGCATGCTGTATTCATTGTTGGTTATACCATCTACTTGCGATCTTTTTGTCAGGACATTTTCGAAATTGGTATACCGTAATCGCACAATTGATACAGTGGACTCGTCAGTGCAGCCTTATGTCTAGAGACACTCACTGGTTTTATCGTCAGCACACATATTGACGCATTTATCGTTTTTCTTCTAATGTCATAAATGATTGCTTTCATTTGTTACACAGTGATATACCAAAACAACAACCTTCTTTTCTGCATGCTCAATAGTTGCATTTTTAATTTCGCACACCTAGACATATCAATATTCCATCTTACTGCATCCGCCATGTCAACTTGTGAACCGATGGAAATCCAACTGGTGGATGCGCGACCTTATGTTGGAGGGATAATTGCTAGCATTTTCTATGTTCCTACTATATTTGTCAACTTTTTATCTAGTTTGTCTGTTATATCGCATCTGAAAGGAGCTCAGAAATACAGCTGTGCACGTGTATAAGGCGTAGATGCGATGGTGTTGAACAGACTCTCAATGATGTGCATATTTGCCGGGTAGAAGGTGGCCTATCGTTTCCCTTGCATCCAGTCAGCCAATCCAAACCCAATGCTGTCCCCACACCTTTCCCAACTGCACTCGCACAACAGGTATATAAATTAGAAGATATCCTTTCGGTGCCCTGTGAACCATCTACAGCGCAGGCGGATCAGAGTCCGTGACAAATGCCACACAAGTAAGTGATAAATTTGGTGACTGATACAATGATATTACAGGGGGACATTTCTAGTCTTAATAAGTTATCATTTAAAGTTTACAAAGTCTATGCTGTCACCTACAATTTTGCATGGTCCCTACTGTGGAACAATGGTTTATGACGGGTATAAGATCAAATGCTTTAGAAGTCTCCTAGGATGTTTGGAGTGAAAATTACAAGCTGTAAATGGGATCAGTATAATAACGCGCGCGAGATACTTGACTCACCAACAGGTCTGAAGTAACGCATGCGGGTATTTTTTTTACCTTAGCAGGATTATGAAAACGTCCACTGTTGTGCACTGATACCATCATCTGATGGTCTTGGGCTATGTCACATAGTGTAAATGTGTCAGAGTATTATCAAGACGTTTTCTGAATAGGTATAAGGCGGGGCATTAATTACATGTGTTGGAAGGGCATTTCAGATCTGACACTGGAAGGGAGAAAACGTTTCGTCCACATGCCAACACAGCTGTACTGCGTGGCAAACTTTAACTACTTACTCATCAGATATATGTTCTGGCTAGTTTTAAAAGATAGTGACAAGTGTGGTTGGGTTTTTAGAATTTGATACAGCATTATCAGATCTCCCCGTAGACGCCGATAACCTCCGAGGTACTCTTTTAGAGTTTTCAACCTGAGTGTGCGGGGAACGCTGGACATCTGTTTGAGTTTCCTCGTTTCCCTGCGTTGTGCAGTCTCGATTGCGGTTAGGCACCGCTTCTGCCAAGGTTACCACGCCTGAATAGCGTATTCCGCAGGCGGGGTGAAAATGCTGCCAGGGTTGGATGGGTTCATTTTACTGAGCCAATTGGTTAACTCTATTTCATATTCCCTGTGAAGCCAAAATCACGGAGACACAAACTTTCAAACCAACGCTTTTAGCGCACTTGATGGAGATAACGCACGCAACTGTTCACGGATTGTTGACCGTGTCAAGGAGACGGGAATTTGAGATGTGGATGCCTGTACTGAAACTATCAGCATCTTTAGCATCTTTAGCTGAGAAATATTTTTACTGGAATTATCCGATAGCCCACTACTGTTTACCCATTTCTGGGAGCTGATGTTTGCCAGAAAGAGAGCGGAAAGGCACGAAGAATCATTGACGAGAGCCCGGTTTAATTACAAGTTGCATCGCTCTTACATGTTGTTTTCCAGACCTATAAATCAGCAAAATTATAAGTTTGGTTTGCAGGATTCCATAGGACAGATCATCATGTTTTCCCAAACCGTAGTATCCGACAGTCGATAAACGACTATGTCAACACACAGACCCTTATCTCCTATACCCAATTCACCAACCATGATTTGTCGCATTCGACTTTAAAATGACCTAAACATAATGCCAGCTTGTCTAGGTTACCGTTAACTCTTTCTGTTTCTACCACTGCCACATTTCAGTTGCATGGAACTGAAACCTCGCTTCTTAGTTCTTGTCACTGCGATCCTGTTATTGGTGGAAATGCCATGTAAGTTCTCGTCTCCCGCTGGTTTATTGTTCATGCTTTCTCATCGTTGGGTTAGTATTAGTAGTTAAAAAGCATGTTGTGGCTAAATGATGCTTGCATTTAAAGGTTCTTTAATGGATTCGTCGTTGGTTTTCACGTAGCTCATTCGTATGGGGGATGACTGATAACCTTAGGCCGGTAAGTGAGTCGGGTGAAGGCGTTTGCGCTAAACGGGAGAGTTTTCGTCACATTCAAGTGAACTAACTGACCAATGTTTTGATTTTCACACACCAAGATTTCATCAGGATAAGTGAACGAACCAGTAATTGACGTACCATTTTATGACCGACATTAAGTGATCGTCTTGGGAACACAGATAGGGATCAGAGGTTGATGGCCACTTGAAATTCAGCTGTCATTTTAGGTGATATCTCAGATGATTCACGGTACAGGATGATCACAATTATTACCTTACTGGTGATGTTGCTGGTGGCGGAGGGTTTCGAAGCCGCTTTCTTCCACTTCGGATGCTGTCCCAATTATCGAAATGATAAAGACTTGTTTCAAAGTAAACTGCGGCCTACATTGAGATTGTGTGTCTCAATTCAGACGCACGGTGGGTACTCGAAGACCAAACAGTGAACTAGTTGTGATGATCTTCGCTGATTGGTCCGGATCCGTCTGCAAATGTTCATCAGACTAGTGTGTTCGAGGCAAGCCATCACGCAATTGACACCTTAAATCCATCCATCTTGTTCAAGTAGCTGTTGACTGGTGATTTCCGGGGACTCACACTCTAGCGTCCTTGATTTTATGTGCTTTCAAATCATTCCAAGGATATTGCCCTAATATAAATTACTTCGTAGTTACGAGAGGTCAAGATCAATATCCCATGATTTTAGAAAAGCATATGGCTGTTCAGTACGTATACTTACTGCGTAAAGTTTGGCTTTACACAAATTATCCTCTAGAATAAGGGAAATAGTTTAGAATTGGGCATTACTTGGTAGCCAACATGGGTATATCTCGCAACATAATGGTGTCAGTGGGAGATCGATTGCATTTGTATGTAGGACTTTCATCATAAGTGGTCCGGTGAGAGCGAATAGTTCAGCTAAATGATGTAGAGTTGCTTCGATTTCTAAAATGCTAGTGGTGAGCTGGTTATGGTAATCAATCTGAAGTCCAGTACCATCCGCCGATGCTCTCTAAACTGACCGGTGTCAGACTGTAGACCAGACATTTCACAACGCTTTATCTTCAGTTATATCTAGGCTGTTGTTGGCGTTGATGATGTCCACAGCCACATTAATTAGCGTTTGTGGAGTTATTGCATTTTTAAAAGCTGAGTTCACGTCCTGTGTCTAGCGTATACAACGCCACCCCAGAAATTCGCAGCAGATCTCTGTAATCTGGCCGGTTTTCGGTAGCTTTGACAAGCATCCCCTATCTTAAATTATTCCTGCGCGTTTCCCCCTCCCATTTCTCTTCTATACACATATAAGCGGACTTCACGTAGGACTTACAAATACAATTAGTAGCCCTATCCATAGCAGGAGGACTTTCCAAATGCAGCAGGATTGACCGTGGCGTTTGACAATTCTGGTAGCTACTCTGCTTTGCTTGTTATTTAATACTCCCAAAAAGTCCGCTGATGTTATTATGCGGAATTTCTACTAGCACTCAGTGGTTGATCATAGAATCGGTCGTTAATCTATCACTGTCTATCTGTGAAAGACACCCTTTTAGAATGCTGCATGGGAATGTTGGCTTTTGGATATAATAACAATAATAATACGTATATTTCTCTTGGTGTGAGAAACTTCATCTGTAGCGGCACAGATCAATGTGGACAGAAGTAGGCATGATCTTGCATGGGTGAGATGCATAGGTCGAGTATGGGAATATGCGTTTCGTGTATTGACATGCTGGCGGATGGTTGAGGCCAAAGCCTAGTTATGAAAACATTGGTGTTTAGATGTTTTTGGCCTCCTCTTGGAATGGCTCATCGAGGGATTTTTTCCATGTAAATATATAGCTTAGGGTAGTTAGATCAAGGTAATTGGTGAATCTGCTTTTAACTTTGGTTACATTGTCACAAGACCTGAGTGTTAGTGGTAGTTTATTTCGCAGATAACTGTATCTGACCAGGAAGAAAGTAGAGCGGACGTTCGTTCTAGCCTTCAATATATTCAGTGTGAAATCTTTGTTGCGAAGCTCTCGAGTTGAGCAATGTTGTAAATTGTGTGTAGGCAGGTTGGAATAGGTCTTGTTGTGTAACATGTTGAAAAGCGGCAACAAGTTGTGCTTCAATCGTCGAATCCAAGGTAGTTCGAGATGAAGTTCGTTGCAACGTTCTCGATAACTCATTGCAGTTTACCAATTGGAGGTTTAATAAATGACCTCTGCAGGTGCTCCACAGCAATTCTGTCATTCCCCCTCTCTCTCATATTGCCGCATAGTATGCTACAGTATTCGAGGATGGGGCGAGTGGGTAGCTTGAAAAGCTCAACTCTAGCACGAGTTGTGTGTATTTTGTCTGATATATTGAACATAGTCTGTCTGACACTGCTATTTGGTATTGGGCCTGTTCGGATAAATTGAAGGTAGACGAGTACCTAGTTCCAAGATCTCGCGTGGACAACTGTGAAGGGACGCTTTCAGTGTTTAGGATGATAGATCCTTCGGGGATGCAGCAGCCGTAAGACATGATGCCTAATTTCTTAGCCAAGAGGTTCCTCATTCATGAGCAACACCATGACTCAAGTAAAGTTAAGATCGTGAGTGAGCAGTAGTGTCCCGTGAAGCTCATCACGCCAAAGCTTATAGACGATTTTGAGATCGTCAGCAAATAGACATGACGTACCATGTTTTACAAATGTGGTGATGTTATCGATGTAGAGCAAAAAGAGTGGGGGACCGATCACGCTCCCTTGAATGACCCCAATGGCGATTGAGCTTGGAGAAAGGGGATAATGACCTAAACTGACTATCTGATGACGATCACTTAGGTATGACGATAGCAAACCTAGTAATGAGGCCCGGATCCCAAAGTTCTCGTTTGTGCGGTACTCGGTCGAATGCTTGGTGTATATCAAGAAACAGAATTACTACTGCATAGCCGGAATCGATTGATGCTGGAATGTGGTTAAAATAATCAATTGTCAGGTGGTGCGTAATCGATTGTTAAGAAAAGCATGCTACCAATTATTGATCAGGTCAATAGAATCAACAAAGTTCCTCATCTCCTTTCTGACCAGTTTTTCAAATAGCCGAGCGATTATCGGAGTTTGCTGGATTAGTCAGTAGTTATCAATCGTTTGTTTGGGACCTCCTTTGTGTCGAGTCATGATAAATGACGATTTCCATTGGTCTGGAAAGTAGCTAGATTCTATCGATAGAGTAAACATGCTCCTCAGGAGCAATGGTATATCAGGCCCTCCTAGTTTAATGGCAGTTGGTGAATTGCCATCAGATCCCAGCTTGGAAGGTGGCCTGATTGATTTGATAACTTGGTGGATACCGTTAAGCGAGATATCGACTCCGCTTAAGTGATTTGTTACTGTAAGCTCTGTGCACACAGGCACAAGATCAGCTTCGCGACTGATGGTAGTGGCAAAAAGTTACAGAATGCTTCACAGATTTCACCTGGGTCATGGAGTAAGTGACTGTCACCGTCAACAAGTTCGGTAATCAGAGAGCAGCAGTCATTGGTTCTACAATGCAGTATTTTGACAAGCTCCCTAGCTTTGCAGCTTGTCCGTGTTAATTGCGCATGTTTGACTCCAGTGGTAAATTGGTGCATTTGTAAGATTAGTGAAAAACCATGGATCTTCCTGTACTTTGCAGCTAACTTCCTGGTTTTCTTGCTGATTAAGTGCTCGACGGAATGTTTTGAGACAAAAGCGATATGAACCCATTGTGGGGCAAGGAGGACTATGGAGTGATGGATTGTTTATAGAACTGCGCCACCGCTATACACACTAGTAGAGAGGAAAAATACATCCCAGTCGGAAAAAGGAATGAAATGCTGAAAGCATTCCCAGTTTATCTTATGAGTTGCAACTGGCGGTGTAGAGGCGAGTTTGGTGACCATTTTTATTTGGAAACTGAGTCAGAGCCTTTTATGGTCTCTAACAGGGAGATTGTTTAAGATCTCGGTCTGGGGATTGGGTATACCGAATGGGAATATTAAGTCCAGTATATTAGCGGACCTGGTTGGATTAGTAATCCATAGTGTTCGGCCCCCTGCTGAGATGGAGGAAAGAAAAGAGGCGTGCAAGGTAGACGTTGGGTGGGATGACCATCGTATTTTCGGTAGGTTGAAATCGCCGGCAATAATCTTCTGGCTGTGTAGCAACGCTGATGCGAAGTCAAAAGCAGAAGTGATGTTGGTGATGCACACTTTAGATGCATTCGTTGGGTTGTAGATACACGCAAGCAGTGTGTAATATGAGACAACCGCAACTGACATCCAAATAGATTCAGGGATATTTCCTGATTGTGAATGGTCTATAGGTATAGCTCTAGATATTTTGCGCAGGCATATAATGCACCCTCCACCTTTTCTGTTACAGCGATCTTTTCAAAACAGGTGGTAGTTTGGAATCATCAGAGTAGTGTCAAGCGTATCTGAAGAACACCATGTTTCAGTGACGAGGATCGCTTGCGGGTCACTGATCTGTGCAAGTGTGTCTATAACGTGAAGCTTGTTGATTATGGATCTGACGTTAATCAGAATCCCTGAAAAGGTACTAAGTATTGGGGAATTATCGTTGTCTATTGTGTGATCATCTGAATCTTTGATTTCGAGCATGATACACATGGTAGGTAAGTGCGAGTATGGTAGACCCGAGTTAACCGTTAGGAGGTTTGTTGATAAGGGTAGCATGCCGTGTGGATATCGAGACAGTCGGTAGCACGACGGGAACCGAAACATCGTGCTTTAGTGGCCGTTGGTTTGACAATGGACTAGCTATGTCAACTGGACAAACTGGAGGAAGAGTGGAATCGAGATTTTGGCTTCCGTCGGATGCATCTGAGATGGAAATGGGTGCGAGTTCATTCCCGTCGCCGCTAAAAAAGGGTTGTTGGAAGAAGTCGCTTGAGAAGCTGAAAGAATATAGAAAGGAGCTGGTGCTAACCTAGTCCTGCTTGTCGATGTTCTTCCATCATCTGGGCACTTCTAGTGATTGTTGTGGAGTGTAGGATGATAATTAGGCCTAGCCAAGAGACAGTTGTTATTTGTCTTATTCAATATGGAAGATCGTTTGCCCTAGTGGTTGTAGGAGGTCGGTCGATAGGGAATTTGGGGTGCTTCCTAGTATTTAGTATCCAAACGTTTTTTAAAGACACAAGTCCCTGGATCGGAGAAGTCGTCCTTGGGCGACAGTGGACCATGAATTACATCAGATTGTCTATCCTTGGACGTGTCTGGTTGGTTTGGACCGGATTGTGATAAATTCAACGAGTTGTCATTACTCCACTGTTTCAAGCAGTTAGACATCTATTTAATCCCTATGCATGAGGAGTTCGACATAATGGGTGTGCTTTTGTCAGAATTAGGAGAACCCGCTTTATCCGTTCCTTGTGTAAAGGGTGTTCCCGTGGAGCAAGGAAGGAGAGCATAGGAGCTAGTTGACGACATTGTTAAATTATCGAGGTCTAAATCAATACATCTAGTATCTACTTTGCATGCACTTGTCTTTTGGACGTTTGCCTGGGATTTCGCGAAGAACAATACTTCAGACAAACCTATTTTGATCAATGGGTTTTCCTAATCCAATAAACCTCTGTGAAACTCTCTACCACTGTGATTTGTAGCGGATGCACATAGACAGTTTCGATTAATGCGGCAATAAGTCGTTCGAAGTGGGTTGCAACAACCGGTTTTCCATGTCTGTATTGCGCTGCAGGACTTAAGCAGATAGCTCATGTATCCCGTGTTCGATTGGTTTACCGTGGTAGATACATCAGCTAACAGTCCGTGCAGCAGGGGAAATATTATGTCTATTGTACAACCTGCATCTAGTCTTCATCTGTCTTGACGATCAACGCACTTTCAACCGTTCAGGTTACACAAGGACACACCGGTTGTCACCATCGGAGGAACGCATCGCCGATGCCGTATACAGCCGATTGAGAACGGCAGAAAGCGACAACGCTGACGAAGAAGATGGATTTCGTTCGCGATTCCCCGACAAGCGGGCGGTTCGGCTAATGCGTTTGGGCTGAACGGTCTCCTGATTTAGCACTGCAGTTTGTCTCTTTCTGTAACCTACAAGTTCAGAACAATAAAGTTATATTCATGCCTGTTTACACTCCTTGTTTTCAATTAGCTCCTGTGACCTGTTTTAACAGATAAGTATACAAGTCTCGCGAGAGGTACCGTAACAATTTTTGACTCATATTTTCTTAGTAAGATAACTCGACTTCTCTCTTGTCCAGACCGTTTCACTGCGGATGATCGAGACAGCAAAAGGTAAATTTAACCGAAGTAAACACCTGAAGTTTTTCAGCGTGATGCAGAAAATAAACTCTAGTCCTACTGCTAGCAGTTTTCTTGGTCACTGATGTAATGGTATAGGTCGAGAACCAATATCGACCTATTTTAAGGGGATCATAGAGGATTGCAATCTAATGATTTACTTCTTGAATTCAGTGAGATAGCTCCCAAGACTAGCTAAAATATAGTGTTCTAGGTAGTAACGGTCGTTCGCTGGAGCAGCGTACAAATCCTGTCGTATAGTCAGCATTGTTTCGGCTTACATGTGAGTTAACGACATCCTTGCAGTCTAAGTCTATAATCTTACTAAAGTGGCCAGGGGATCCATGAGGCTATACAAAAATGTAGAGGTCGTGGTTCTTCATTAATTCAAAGCACCATAGAACAGCAGGGGGAACAAGGAAGACGTCAGGATAAATGCACTTAAACGACTATTTGTTAGCAAGTTGAACTAATTGATAGTTCCACAGATAAGTCAAAATACTGGATTTGAGAAGCGATGGGAAGCGATGAATCATCCTGGATTTTATGTGGAAGACGCATGGAAGATGTGTTTGCTTCCAACTTCCATTTTCATCCGCTTTGTGCACCCACTCGGAAGCCGCTATGACGCATAGTTAATACGTCGGTCCTTTACGCAATAACGTCATCCCTGCTGAATGCAAAGGCTTGATATAGTGTTCTGGATGGCGGGACGAGTCAGTATTTCTAGGACACTGTGCGCAAACTTGCGGGATTTTGATAGGAAAGCGTATTAACTTCATCTATTGGTGGACGTAAAAAAGATTCTCCAACCAGTCTTACCCACTTTGCTGCCCAATGAACGCACTACTCGCTGCCAGGTTAAACGAACAAGTTTACTACTGAAACACGCACCAACGAACAAGCCCCATCAGTTATTATCATCGGATGGAGATCGACAACAAGTAAAGTTTTCCGACTACAGAAGCATTTGTTGTGACGTTAAACATAAACAGTTCACTCCTGGGCACTGGATAAAAAATCTTCGGCTACTTATGGGCATTTGGTCTGAGCCCCGCATGCTCAAAAAGTCAAAAGTATGATTTAAGTTTTCAGATTACAATTGGTTTCAGTCGTTAGTACTCGGTGTTTAGAGCTGTGCACAATTTTACACTAGTCTGCGTCTTTTGAACTGTCCCCCAAGGGCTCCGGATCGGAGTGTTCTAGCGGTGCGTAAATGAAAAACAATCGGTTTGAAATAACGGTTGGTTTCAACCTGATGTTTGCTAACTAGGACTCGGACTCTCGATGTATTTATCTTCGAATAGCTTCCTTTCCTAGCTCATCAGGTTGGGGTGTGGTGAGGCATAACATCGTTTCTGCATAGTCAGCTAGTAGTGAAAAATTTATAAATAGGCTAAACGCCTTTAGCGAAATAAAGTGCTTGTTTCATCTCGTCGTTCGTGTGTAGCGCTGACTTTACTTCAGCGCAACGCATTGATTTGCTGTGGTGACATGGATGCCTTGTTGATCTACTGAGCAAACTTACGCGGTTCATCCGGGTTATCTGTAAAGGATACACCAAAACGCCAGTGGTTAGAGGTTGGATAAACCCAGATGCAGTATTATCTGTAATTGAGGTGGAGGGTGTTAGACAAGTAGACACCTTATCAACATACACTTCAAGCGCAGCCACACAGGGTTTATCAAACAACCAACAGCATTTGAGGAAAAGCAGACTCAAAATTGACACACAATATGCGACAAAACAACAGAACTGAATAAATCAAACAAAGTGGAGTAACTTTTATCCAGATTAAAATGAGCTGGTTTAAGTGTAAGTCGGGTAAGCCCAAATGCAGTGAAGAAGCGTTATGTATGCAACATCAGCGTCAGTATGAGCCATGGGAATCCCTTGAGATTAAGTCGATTACTTCTGGTTTCGTTTCTTTTGTGGAACTTAGTTTGGGTTTGGCGGTAGATGTTATGGTGCGCTGAGACTTGTGGTGGTTTTATCCTGACAGTTGGTCTACCCACTGCTGTTACTGTTATGCCATGGGCTCATGTCCTGAACGCCTCCTCGTATCGACCGCTGGGTGAAAGTTGAGTTATTCCCTTCTCTCTGCTAAGATCCAAGACACAAATCCGCATGAGTCAGTGGAATGAGCATGTGTTAGACCTGCTGCCTTTCGGGTGTAAATTTAATCGAAGGCTTTGGCTGGGCACCCGAGTTGTTCTCCTGTCAGGTGTGGGCGCCATGCCAGTATACTAGTCCATCCTTTTCGGTAGTTAGGAACTGGTCTTTGGCTCACTTCCGTAAAACCTAGTCATGGGAGACAACAGGTCTACGGTTTATAAGCTCACAGCTCGATTGTCGTAGAGCACGAGCGCCACACATAGTATCGGACGGCGGGGGTGCACATCCGAGTGCTCAGTTGTTTGTTACTGCCCACCTCAAGCCAGGCAGTCTCTGGTCAAGTAGATGCAAAATTTCCAAAACCCACCTGCGTCTGGACGTCGTCGCAGGGGCGTATACTACTACGGTCGAAAAACATATATGAATCGTTTCAGTACCATAAATACTGCGTGTGACGGCCGTCAAGCAGATCCCAATCTGTCTGGACGATCACATTCCCCAGCTGCATCTGCTCCCCACTGCCTTGTGGGTGAAGTTATTGAGCCAAAGGCTCCTGGTAGATTCTCTAAAGCAAAACCACATCACTCTCTGCCTTGTGGGTCAGTAAATTAAGTCAAAAGTGCAGGGCGGATGCCTTCAAGCAAACCTCCGATGTACAAGGATCACCTCGCGTGCGATTGACCACCAGTGCAATCGTATGCCTGCGCGCAAAGCACTCAGCATTGGGTGCTGGAACTTGCGCACACTTCTGGACCGGAACTCGAGTGAGCGCCCGGAGCGAAGCACTGCACTGGTCGCGGTGGACCTGGTGCGCTACAACATCGATATTGCGGCGCTCAGTGAAACTCGGTTCGCTGAGCAAGGTAAATTGCATGAAGCAGGTGCTGGCTACACATTCTTCTGTGGGGGCAACGCCACCTCAGCACCACGTGAACATGGGTCGGATTTGCAAGATCCGATTGCCTTTATGGCCGGCTGGTGGGTGAACCAACGGACATCAGAGCGTGACTGATGACTGCTCGCCTATGACTCGGAAGAGTCAAGTTTACCACTTTTATCAGCATGTACGGTCCCGCCATGTGTTATCCTAATGCCACGCGCAACCAATTCTACACTCAGTTATCTTCCGTGAGACGGTCTGTGCCGAGGAGCGACCGACTATTTCTGCTGGGTGTTTTCAACGCGCGATTTGGGCGTGATACTTCGGTGTGGACTGATGTCATCGGTCCGCACGGCATCGGTTCAGCGAATTCGAACGGTGACAGGCTGCTCTCACTGTGTGCCACTCACGGCCTGACGATCACGAGCACTCGGTTTACACTGGGAGCGAGCGATATAGCGACTTGCTCACCCACGGAGTGGTCACGCTCACCAGCTCGACTATGTCATCGTACGTCAGCGTGATTTGCGTGAAGTGCGCATGACACGTGTACTACGTGGAGCTGAGAGTGGCACTGATCACAAAATGATGTGGACCAAACCGTACTTATATTTTCGTAAACCTATGTATTGCACTCTCGCGGCGAATCGGCGTTAATATAATGTCCACTCCCACCGTACTGTGGCGAAACCTATTGAGCTGTAGAAGGCGATGGTTGCACGCCTGTGTGATGTGGAATGCCTAGCCTCAGTAGGTGACCTATGGCACCACATTCGTGACCAGGTAACAGCTGCTGCCGAGGAGACAATCGATCGTGCAAACTGTAAGCGGCATGATTGGTTTGATGAGAACAATGCGATGATAGGCGCATTGATGTCGGGGAAGAATGTAGCATCTGCTGCCTAAGTGGCAGCCCTAAGTGATTTAGGTGAGAAGAGAAAGTTTGGCAGAATTCGATGACTATTGATCCGAGAGCTCCGTCGCAGTAAAAGTGCATGGTGGACGGAGAAAGCGAAGCAGCTGGATTGCTACGTCGAATGCCGCCAACACAAGAAATTCTTTGACTCCTTGAAGGCGGTGTATGGACCGAGGTCGGAGCCGCTGAGGACGCTGATCGATGGTAGCTCAGGCGCTGCCTGCATGCAGACTGCAGCCATAATGTAGATCTGGCAAGATTACTTTGACTGTCTGTTGAACAAACGTTTGGAGATTGACTGGCCTACACTGAACGGCCTGAATTAGCACGATGTGAAATTGAGCCTGGCGCAGACGCCTACAGTGGATGAGAAGCAGAGAGCATTTACTTATTTGCGAAACGGCAATTGCGCCGGAGCCGAAGGGATCCCGCCCGAAGTATTGAAACGTAGCTGACCTGCTTTGGTGACTGCGGTGCACCACTTGGTGCAACGGGTACGGATTAAGGAAGAGGTGCCTCCTAAGCTGAAGGATGCCGTTGTGCTACCACAATACAATGATAAAGGGAGCAAGCTTGTTGCACGAATTATCGTGGCATCAAATTGCTGAGTTGTGTGGGCAAGGTGAGTGCCCGAATGCTGCTCATTTACATCGTCAGTCAGGTTATGGAACCGAAGGTGACGGAAGAGCAATGTGGACTCCGTTAGGGTCGCAGCATCATATATATGGTGTTTGCGGCTCGTCATTTGCAGGGGAAATGCAGAGTGACAATAGCTGTTGTACACGCTTTCTGCTGATTTCACCAAGGCATTTGATACAGTAAACAGCGAGGCATTGTAGCTGGTCTTGGGTAAGCTTGGTTGCCCGCGTGATTTGTAAGTTTAAACGAATGTCTGCACAGTGATATGCGGGCGAGGGTG